TCTCTCTGTCCTTGTCCAAGTCTCAGATGATAGGCTGAAGTAGGTCAGTGGGTGGAAACCTATCAGCCACCTGCAGTGGGAGCTGCTTGAACCATCCTCACTAGTGGAGACATCGCCATCCTCAAGGACTTCCTTTACATGTCTAAATGATTTTCAAAACATCTTGTTGAAAGGTGAAAATATGCATGAGTCATCCTTTTGGCAGGCTCCGTGTCTGTCCTAATGGTACCTCCACATTCCTTTCCTTAGTGCAAAGGGACCCCATCAATGTTAGTTGGCCACTAGTGGGAATCAGTGTGAACTCATAAGAATGTACATGTCTGGGCACTCCCCACACAGATGGGTCTGGAGTCTGTGGGGAGCCAGCCACTTTCATTACCTCTGTGACTCTAGTGTGGGCCAGGGGTCAGCTGGACTGCTTCCTTCTTATGTGCTTCATTGCTAAGTGACACCCAGGGTCATAGCTGGAGCTTAGAAATAGCACTTCTCTGGCTGAAAACTCCACAAAAGCTTCTCCTGAAAGATTCATTTCCTTGGCCTCTCAACAGACTCAGAATAGTGGCAGATCTCAGAGCAGCGGTGTCCTGGGAGCTATATCTAATGATGTTCAGAAGAACCATGGTATCCAGGCCTGCATTGCTGAGATGAGACCTAGCCACTCCTCTGTGGCCGCCATCCATCCTCATAAAGGGCACAGCCATGTTTAAGATTCTCATCTTTCCTTGGGCAAGTCCATACCCACATTTCCCCCTGATCATGCTTTCTGTGAGCAGAGCAGCTCAGCCTCACAGTGCCTACATCTACATTTCAGGGAGAGGAGCCCTGAGCACCGTTCCCTTTAAAGAAAGGGAGACATTTAAATTAACAGCAGAGGAAGTACCAACTGTTGGCTGCTGGGATGTATTTATGATATGGGATTCCTGCTCACAAGGATTTAATCAAATGCTTTAAGATATACATTTTTAAAAAAAGAGTAACACAAATCTCAAAGGGCCACATGAGTTTAGAATATTACTGACCTAACCAATTACTGGAGATTAGACCAGACCCCACTTATTCACCCATCCATCTAGTCGTTGTTCAGTTAATATTTATTGAGCATCTATTTTGTTGGAAAATCATCTAAAACTGGCAGATATATCTTACATTTTTATATCATTCACCATGCTAAACAAATAGGAGGGCTCAGAAAACATGATTTGACATTGCAAATCTGAGTTTTTATGTCTTTAGCTATGAAAGCTTAGAAGCCAGAAAAGCAGTTTTTAGCTTCTTTTTTCCCCTAATGCCATTGTCATTGGGAAGCTTTTCAATTCCTCAAAATAGCTTGGGAAGATAAATGAGTAAACTTTGCTACGCTAATTTACTCTTCAGAATGCAAAATGATTTATGCTTTGTTTTGTTTATTGCTCAAATAAGCAAATTCCGAATGGATTGCATGATTATTCTGAGATATTCTAAGTACAGATCATTTTATTCTTCCTTAATCATTTTTTTTCACCAATCCATTGCCACTCTGGATATAATTCATCACAGGGCCTGCCATGGACTTCTTAGAATAAATAAGAAGAAAGAAGGAAAAATTGGGGGGGGGGGGGTACACCAGCCAACCCCAAGTAAATCAATAGCTGCCCTTTTGTACTCACTGTCTTTCTTTCTTTTCCCACACTTTCTGTCTCTCACACATGCACGCCACACATCCCAAGAATTTCAGAAATATCCAGTGCATTGTGGGAACCATTTGGTGACCATGAACTAGACTTGGGCTCACAGCAGAGCACAAGCAGAGCCCATCTGGTCCTCCCCATGTGACAATAGGACCCCGGAGTTCTGGAGTTGAAGAAGAGCAGGCTCCCAGGAAGAGACAGACTTCCTCTGGTGCACTTGGGCTCTGCTCTTAAAACACCTTTCTGTTTTGCTTGTTAAGTCAGATGAGGATTTTTCCACATCTGACTAAATCTTCAAAAAAAAAAGCTAATGAGCACCATGTCCTGGAGCATATCACTGCGGATCTGGGTTTATCCGAGAGTCGAAGGATATGTGAGCTTTCTAGGGGGACCTTGCCTTGCCAGGGGGTGGCTTAAAACAGCAGAAATTTCCTCCTCACCTGGTGGTGGAGGCTGAAAGTCACAGATCTAGGAGGCCAGCCTCCCTCTGAGCCCTGTCATAAGAGTCCTGCTCGCCCCTTCCAGGTCCCCATGGTGCCACCATCCTGTGTCCTTGTGGACATGCAGTTCCAATCTCTGCCTCTGTCATCCAAGGCTCCTTTCTGTCTCCTCCTCTCTTCTAATGAAGATACTTTTTAGCTTTTTATTTTGAATAATTTTAGACTATTGAGTTGTAAAAACAGCATAAGGAATCTTTTACATTGACTCTCCCATTGTTTAAATATTTCATAACTATAGGATAGTTATCAAGAGGAGGAAGTTAACATTGTTACAATAATATTAACTCAAAAATAACATTAACTCAAAATTCTTCAAATTTTAGAGTTCTCCAATGTCCCTTCTTTATCCCAGGACCACGTGACCCGTTGGAAAAGCACTGGCTGATGACTTTGTATTTGTCCCTCGATTCACATTTTTCCAGCATTTTCTCATGAATGGAGTGAAGTTAGCATTTGCATAAACCCACCACATAGATGGTTCTTTGTCCTTTCTAGGACTGTCAATGGGGTGGTGACCTTGATGGGTCTTGTTCCTGGCATTGTTGACCACAGTCATGAGGTTAAGCTGCTGTGTGCAGGTTTCTCCACTGTGAAGGTGTCTTCTGCTTGGTAGCTGGGAAGTATCTTAGGGAAGATACTTTGAGATGATGCAAGTTCTGTTTCTCCTCAAACTCTTACTCACTAACTTTATCCTCCATCACTGGGTCTGGTCTGTGTCATTTGTTAGAGTGGTGTTGGCCAAAAGGTGATTTAATTTCCTTCTCTCCCTCCATACTGAGGAACTGAAATTCTGTTGTGAAGAAAAATGACTGTGGTTTACTTGATTATTTACCTACATCGCTATGGATGCATGACGCACCATTGTTTATTTAACCACACGTTGTTTCCAACATTTTCTAACTACAAATAAAATTACGATGATGATAGTCTTATATACTTGTATTTTAGTATGATTGGAGGGATATCTTGTAGAAGGTGTCTTGAAAGTGGGACTCTCAGGCTAAATTTAAGTGTGCATTTTGTTAGGCACTGCCAAATTTCCTTCTGAAATGATTGTATCAATGAGCTTTCCTACTATGAGGTATCAGAGTCCCTACCCTACCTTACCCTCTTTTCTTCAATCAACCTCTTAAGTAAGAAATTATGTCTCAGTTTATTTTTATTTCTCCAATTTTATATATATTAAGTACTTTCTTATATGTGTGAGGACCATTTTTACATCTTTTTGTGAATTGCCTGTTCATCTCTTTTTCTCATGTTTCTTGTTTGTTTTTGTAATCTTAAATTTTTAGAGTTCTGCATATGTGTGGGATTTTAGCAGCTTGTCCATGGCATATGGTAAGAAGGTTTTCTCCCAGTTTCTCAGTCCTCTTTGTCCATCATGTTTTTGTCTTGCAAATTTTTACATGTGTTATGTAGTCAAATTTGTCAATCTTTTATTTTTCTTCTGGATTCTGAGTTATCCTTAGAAAGACTGTCTCTACACCAGGGGTAAGGAAGAATTCTGCATGCTTATGAAAATAACATTCCAAACATATATGGCAGGGTTTGTTAAAAATTCATCTGCAGACTGCCATATCCCCACCCCCATGTCTTCCAGCTCCCCCAGCAGCTGCCATTCCAGCTGAACCCTAATCAGACCTCAGGCCACCCATCTCTAGCCCTATGGGCTTTGCTGAGCCCAGGAATAATTCATCTCCACCCCCTTGGGCAGTCTCTCTCTCTCCACCCCCCTCCCCTGGGTCTTCTTCCTCCTAAGTACGCCCTGTTTTTTTCTCCACTTTATTTCTGCTGCTATTACTCATGGGTCACGTTGGAATTTTCCACTGACTCCAGTCCAAAGCACAGCCTTCCCTACTTCAGCTTCCCTCTTTCTTGCCTTCTCTCTTTTGTTCCTGCAGCCCTTAAAATTCAGCATCTTCCTTTCTACAAGACTATTTAGCCCCTTCCTCTTCCTAGGTGAATGAGTGGGCCAATTCACAGCTCTTTCTGCAGCAAAAGAAATGTGAAGTTCACATAGGCACCCACTGAAGAGTCCCAACATTGGGCAGAGCACAGTGACCTGCTTCATGTGAAGTGGCATCTTCCAAAAGAAACAGGAAAATTAGTCTGGGCTAATGCTGAAGGCACAAGAGCTACAAAACATGCCAAACTATTTAATGCTCATAATAGTGTCAGGGATTTTTCATTTTTAACTTTTTTTTAGTATGACCTTTATTCATTATAACCTTTAAATACATACACAGGATTCTGTTGTCATGGTATTTTGTATATCAATAAATTAAAAATGAAAATAAAAATGATGATTGATAGGGAAAAAATCAGTCTCTATTTCATCTCCATCTCCATCTCTATCTCTGTCTTTCTCATTGTACCAATCAGCAGAAACTAAAGGATTCAATCTGTTCTAAGTCCTGGCTTTAGAAGGTCAGAAGAGCCTGGCATTATTCTTAGGAAAAAAAATTGTTAGAGAGCTAAAAATGAAGAGATAAGCTGCAGGGATTTATTAATATATGGCTGTGCATTTTCATTTTTAATTTTGACTATCTTGGATATTTTAAAAATTGATCTGTAGACTTCTCTGCATGTTTTCTCTCAAATACTTACCATTGGGATTAAGCAGTGGAGGACCTATTTCAGCTTCATATAAATTATGTACATTTGAAGAAACCTAATAGAGAGTGAACAAGACATTATTTAATAACAAAAGAGGAAGCCTCTGAAATTGATGCAATGGAAGGAGAAAGGAGTAAAATACAACCAGAGGAGAAAATAAAGCATCTTTAATTTATGGTTCCCAACATTTTGCTTTTGTTCTTATTTGCTTTTTTAGGGACCCTCAGAGTCTGGACCCCCCAGAAGTCAGCAATGCAAAGCTTCAATACGCAGGGTGGGGCCCCAAAGGCCAGCAGCTGGTAAGCATGTCAATGTCATGGTTTGGTTTTCTCAAAGTTTGTGTTTTCTAGGCTGAATGCATCTCACTGGAGTCAGCCTGCATGTGGTGTGTGTGTGTGTGTGTGTGTGTGTGTGTGTGTGTATAAATTAAGTTTTGAATACATACACCGGGGAACTTGAGTATGTAAAGTAGCTGTTTCTTTTTGGATAGAGAATTGTTGTAGAATTGGAATAGCATATGTATGGGTTCCCATATCTGATACCCTTAAAGTGGTCCCTACCTGTGGCTGGACGTAGAGGTTCTAGGTTTGCTTTGAACACATAGGATGAAGTGTATCTGAAGGGCTGCAAGTGTAGGGATGATCAGAATGGTGGAGTCATTGATTGCTGCTCTAGGAACTCATCCTCCTTCTGCAGAGGGCCCTATGAGAAAGCAGATTTGCTCAAATTGGCAAAACTGTGATGTTTCCAAACCTGGGAAAGTGAACGGCAAGGATGCTACAGTGAAAGGGGCCCAAAAAAGCAGTTCTAAGACAAGAGTTCCAGTCCTAAATACCCATTTGTTGGTTGACAGCGAATGGCTTGTTCAGTGGTAAGGCTGCCATCAGCAGCTCTGTGAAACAGGAAGTACAAGGTTTGGAAGATGTGACCTCTGACCTTCCATCTGTCCAAAAGTAGGTAATGTCAATGAGCCCTGCATAGCTTTATTTCATGAGACAATTTCACCCTTGTGGACAGTCTCTCTGGTTTGCAGGTCTAATGACTTGGCCGCTACACTTAAGTCACCAATTTATTTTGCATCTTAAAGCAGATTAACCAAAGCTGCAGTTTCAGTGCCTTCTTCCCCTAAAATAGCACAAAAAGTGATCACATTTGAAAGCTTCCACAGGATTGCTTTGGATAGGCTGTCTACAGTCTTAAAAATGGAAAGTCTTACTTTCCCCCATTATACAATTATCATTTCTTGGTTGCATGTTAGATCCATTGTTTTGAATTGTTTCAAAGGAACAGAAGTACAGGAGCCACAGAAATATTTTAACTATTACTAAAGTGTTCCTAATGCTAATGAGAAATTTCAAACAGCAGATTTAATGGATCAAAACCAGAATGTGGCAGAGAAGAGAAGAGTGGTGAGCTGACTTAAATAAAAACCATCTTTCCCTGAAGCCATTAACTCTTTGGAAATGCACACAAGTAATGGTCAACTATGAAAGACCTGAGTGCTGGTGACTTATGGCTGACCATAAAGCCCTCTGGAAGCCTGTGGTTGAAGAGGTTTACAGTGCCCATCAGATCTTTCTGTAGATGTGGCCATCACACCTCCGTAGAGAGCCCTCCCAGCCTCCAGTGACCTTCGACAGCCCAGTCCACACAGGTTGGCACCCAAGCCCCAACATGCCCTGCAGAGATGAGGATGGGAAACCATAACCTCATTGAGTGGTCCTTGTCCCACATTTTGTGCTCATCAGGAAAAGGACTTAATCAGCTGTCAAGGTCTCTTTCTGCCATACCTGCTGCCTCTATCCTTGTCAACCAGGGCTTAGCACTAGGCCTGAGGACTTACGTTCCAACATTTCCAACTGGAGGCCCATCAGACCCTGGAGTAGACTGAGCACCATCTCTTCCTACCTGGTGGTAGAGTGCACAACATAAAGAATAATTAACTCCCAGTGCAGAAGGAGGAGTTAGGTGTGCACACATGTGCACAGATACTTTAGACATAGGTTCAGAATCCAGAAGCAGGTGAAGCTGCAGGGTGGTGGCTCTTTTGGATACCTATTAGGACAGCCCCTTCCCTGCTACCTCATGGACAACTGTTTTTTCACATATGTCATGCTTCCTTGGGGACAGAGGTGAAGATAACTGACTATAGCAGTCATCATGTTCAATCTCTTAAAGAATAAGTAGCAACAAAGCAAAATAAGACACCTCTACTACAACACACACAGTCTGTCAGGTAGCCCTCTTTGGGGTCCACATCTCACTGTGTCACCTTTGGTCATGTGTGGCATGCAGACAAGTGCCTCTTCTCTCTAGTGCAAGCAGTCAGTCTTTTTCCCTGTCTTCTACAGGGCTGGCACAGTGCCTGCTGCTCACCAAGTATTTGTTGAAGTAAAACATGCGTGCATAAACAGACTGGTTAATTAATTACTCAACATATTCTTGTAGCACTAAACCACTTCAGCATGAAATAATTGGAGGGAGGTAAAGAGCAAGAATCCATGAATATGTGTCTGCTGGTGAGATTTTACTTCCTTTCTGTGTCAAGGCAATGAATTTCCAGTTAATTACTATTGCTGATATTTGAGTTTGGTACCAAAGATGCTGATAGACTCCTGGAATGTTTGTTTTTAAACTTATATGGACTTTGGGGGTTTATCATATCTCTTGTACTGCATATAAGAAGCAATACAACTTATGGTTGAGAAAGCTATGTTAGAACAGGGGTTGGAAACTTATTCCATAAAAGAACAAATGGCAAATGTTTTATTTTAGGCTTTACAGATCTTACTGCTTCTGTCACAATTAGTTCTCTTTGCTGTGTAGCACAAATGCAGATGAGGACAATGCAGAAACAAATGGGCATGGTTGTGTTCCCCCCAGAACCGTATTCACAAACACAGGTAGACTGGCCTGGGGACTGCTGGCCCCTGTTTTAGGTGATCATCATGCTCTTGGGTGTCCTCCACTGCCAAGTCCTGAGCCCTGGGGCATCACCTGATGCCAGGTGCTCCGGAGCCTGCTCTGTCTGCAGAGTAAAGCAGCAGCCATGATCAGCCTTGCAAACACCAATCTATTGTGAGGGTGAGCAACAAATCCCTCACTGCCATTTTATTTTAAAAAGTAAATATTGCTTCCTAAAGGAAATCCGCTCTGAGGATAATGAGTCAGATAAAGTGAGTAATTCCCCTTCGGGAGCCAAAGATTCAGCTGCAGCTCACCAAGGATTCACCAGGACTGAGCCCCCAAGTCACCAGAAGATAGCTGTGTGCAGCACCAGGAGCATACAGAGGGCATCTCTTTCCATGCCTCTACATGGGGTTCAAGAATGCCTTCACCCCTTGGAGCGATCTTTATTTGACCTCCAGCTCACATGGGCACAGGCTCCTCTGGAGATAAGGAGAAAGCAAAGCCCAGCTGTCCTTGCCCTGCCAGCATTAGCTTCTGCCCTGCCGCTGGTCGGTGGGTGCTCCCAGTGAGCACTCAAGTTCTTTCCAAAACATTCACTAAGGAACTAGCCTTGGAAGAGGAGGTTGGGTTTGGCCAGATTAAATAGGGTCAAAGGAGGAAATATGTGCAGGCATCTCTCCCCTGCCCCGCCTCTCCATCCATCCGGGAGAGGCCGCCGGAGACACAGGTTTGCATTTGAAATAGTCCTTCAGGAATTTTCTCCATACCATAGCTTCCTTTATTTCCTCCTCTTCAGATGAATCTCTCCCTGAACTGCAGACACTCCAACATTCTTTGCTTTGGTCTCAGGAAGTCCTGCTTCCCATATATGGTCAGCTGTTTCTCTGAGGTGTTGTCTCTGCTTACCTAGTATATGACAGAATCATTCAGTTTAGAAATCTCCTTTCATTTCCTTATTTGTCCTTACACCTGGGGACCAACACACTGGGCAGCTGCTGCAGTGGTTGTCTTTGCTCCTGGGACCCACACCTGGAGTGAAAACCGCTTCCATGCCTTAGCAGGTCAATCTATAAGTGTAAGGAGTCTATGCAGACTTGTTACATAATATTTCTTCCTCTGGAAATAAGAAGAGTGGAAATTTTTGCAGATCAGGCTGTGAAGCATTAGACAACATTAAGAATGCATGGCTGGTGGCTGCTGGGATGTTCAGAGGCTCCAAGACAGAGAGAACGATCTCTCTTTGCTTGGCTTGCTACCGTGATAGTGATAAATGAGCAGTTTGAAAAGCATATTTAGTGAGCCCTTTGGGAAATCTTCCACGGCTTAGCATGTGGAAAATGAAGAGCAAGGAGAGGAGTTGGCCCAGCTGGGGTGGAACTGTCTCAGAGGAAGCGCCCCAGAAGGGTGGCAGAGAGGAGGCCCTGCTGTCCAGCTGAGGAGAGTACACTGCTCCTGATCACCCCACTCTTGAAGATGCAGGGGAAACCAGTGAGCTGCTGATCTGAGACAGAAGACTACAATCAAGTGTATCTACCACAATCAGAGGATTTCTGCTAGACTTTAAGAACTTCCTTGATTCTATGGCTCTTTTCTCCTTCAAATGGTTTTCCAGGGAAGATCGTGGATATAAATATTCTTAAGGGAGAATCATTTCATCAGCATGGTCAGGTCCAGAAGCCAGTTCTCTTAGCAAGGCCTGGGCAGGCAGACTTGATTCCCCAATGAGCCCCCAGCCCCAGGAGCACTCCAGGCTGATGGCTGGGGTCAGCGATGGTTGCAGCTGGACCACCACATTCTCATGCTCTCTGCCACCTGTCAAGGTGACTTCATGTCACCTTGCTCTCTGGCATAATCATCCCTGAACAGCAGTCCCCAGATCTTTCCTCTGTGTTTCCCACCTACACTGCCCTGTGTGCAGCAGGGCTCTGGGATGCCAGCATTGACCTGGGTGTGATACTTTCCTCGGATCCCTCAGTCTTGATGGAGTGAGGGACGCTGCCCCCATCATCTGTCCTCCTGCTGGATGTGCCACCCTGGGCTCAACCCAGCTCACTCAGCTAGTTCCACTGACAGCAGAGGTGCAGCCACCCTATGTCTAACTGGACCACCAGGAACCCTAGGTGACCCTCTCCAGCCCATACCTATTGCCTGCTGCCTGGTGCTCTCAGCCTTCCTCACCTACACCAAGTCCTGTCCATTGAGTCTGTGGCAGGCTCCACGGATCTTTAAGGATGGAATTCTTTCCAAGGGAACTGATCTGAAGATGGTTCCTTTCCCTTTTGTGGTGTCAGCGGCTGGAGAGCTAACGCCTGGCTTCCCTCACCCACTGCGAGCAATAGCGCTCAGCCCTCCTCTTCCCAGATGCAGGTTCACTCCTTTCTCTGAATCA